AAAAAATGTAGTTTTATATAGCAAAATACAAAGTTCTAAGATCGCTCTCCATCCCTTGCGAAATCATATTTTAAATATATGACATTTTTAAAAGTGATAACTCAGAAGCTAATCAGCCGATTGTACTCAAGCTTTGTATTTTGTTATTTAAAATTACATTCTTTAAAAGGATGTAAAAAAATTTGCATACATTAGAATTAAAGAGTTTTTCATCCATTATTAAACACAAAATGATGAATAATTATTAAAAAACTAATTACTTGTACTATGAATAAACGAATTTCATTATTAAATGCTGACATTTTTCAATTCGTTTCAAATGCTCTCGATACGTGATGAAATGCGCAAAAGGTATAACTGACATTTAAGGGGTCAGAAGTTCGATCAGAAAAAACTTGGAAAACGATTTTCTGGCAAGTGGATATGTCCTCCGGATATTCAGCCACCTAGCTCTCCAGACCTTCACCCTAGGGACTCCCTTCAGCAAACATCCAGAGAATCAAAAGAAATTGAACCATTGTTTTACAATAAAATCAAATTTTTAACCTTATTCTAGAAAAAAGTGCGTACCAAATGAATTATCTTTTAAAACAAAATTAATCAAAACAACAAAGTTAATCAAATCGAAAATAACAAAATTAATTTTAAACGAAATTAATTAACAAATTAATTAAAATTAATAAAAATTAATTCGATCAAAAGTTTAAAAAACGGAATCAAACGACCTTTCTTTTTTGAATAACCATTTTCTTAAAGCCACATTCTGAACTACATCCAAACACGAATTTCGAGCTTTCTTTTCACATGCATTTTGTTAAAATACGCCTATAAAGTTATGTCAATTTTCTTAAATACTCATTTTGACCTTTTTATACTGCTTAAAAAGCGTTTATCAAGCCATATCTATTTCATGAAAGAGCATTTCGAGCTAAGTTCACTTTCAAGCTATGCCAAAATGTTTTGATGCGTGTTAAGCCATGATAAAAAAAAATATCTAACACGTATTTTGAGCTATGTTTCCTGACACCCACTATGAGCTACATTCATTTTATTTAAATGCGCATATCAATTTATGTCCATTTTCTTAAATATTCAATTTGAGCTTTTTCATCAAGCTATATCCATTTACTTGAAAGATCATTTTGAACTAAGTCCAGTTTCAAACTTTCACGTGTTTTGAGCTATATCAGTTTTTTTCAGACACTTATTTCGAGCTGAATTCGAGTATCAAGTTATGTCTATTTCTATCTTATTTATTCTCATTTTGAGCTTTTTATGTTTCTCAATGCGCGTTCATCAAGTCATTCCTTTCATTTAAGTTCTTTCGCTGACAGCGTACAATAAGTATTTGGTTTGTAGTGTACTCTTTTTCTTTATTTTTACGTTTGAGTGACCGATTTTAACAATTTTCAAGTCCAAAATTTTTCAAAGTAAAGTAAAAGTGTTAATTTTTATAATTATTAATCCATTGATTAAGTAGAATTGTGGGTACTTGCACTTGTAAGAGGAAGACCACATATACCCACACATGTGACTTATGACACTGATCGTTTTTTATTTTATTTTATAATCGTCGTTAAACAGCCGACCCAAATTTGGGTTTTCGACTACCAATGTTCAACTCCGTATCCTTGTAATTTTGTTCCAAATCTAGAAGACAAGGGAGTTCCTAGTTCAGTACCCCCAGAGGTATTGATTAGTTGTGGGAACTTGGAGGACTTTGTGACCTCGACAGATTTAGCGTGCATCAGTCACCATTTACTACACGGGGAGACTTTGGTCGACGGGAATCGAACCCACGACCTCTTAATCATGGGCCCAGTGCCCTACCAACCAGGCTATCCCTGCCCCAGCTGATCACTTGTAAGTAATATGGCGTGCTAAAGTTGAGCTAAGCTTCTTCACATTAGTAAATATGTTAATTAAAGTGAAGTTAGTTAAATACAGGGCCGTATCGCACATTGAATTTGTTGAAATATAATTCGTCCTCGTCTACGTCTTTTACTTAACTTAGATTTATTACTTGTTTATGTATTTTATTGCAACCCTAATATATTTTTATTTTGTATACCAGGCAACTTCAATGCATGATTAGTTTGTTTATTTATGTTTTACATGGCTTCGTGCCTATCTTTAAGTTGAGTTAGAAATATAAAGTGAAACAATTGAAATCTTTGTGAGAGAATATAGTATGTATCTCTTAAGATGATTGATACTCGACAGGCTTGGCTTACTCGAAATAGAATGGAAAGAACAGTTGCTAGCGTAAACAAATGTCACGTTTCAACAACCAATCAGGATCGAGATTCCGATAATATGTCACTTGCAGGTATCCCATTCCCAAATATTTGACTAAATCCATTTTCAAGAACACTTTTATACTGCCTGAGCATAATTACCATGCTTAATAGAATTATTGCCAAAAATAAAGCTTAAATAAATATATATTCCAAATATTGATTTCGTGCTTAAGCGTTTTTGACCGATGACGAGTTAACTCGTTATCGGTCAACGACGTTCGCACAAGAAAAGACGACTTAACTCGTCACCGGTCAACAAATTGTTAATATAGTTTATACGAAAATTCTTCATCGAAATACCTGAATTCCGGTTTATTTTAAACCAATAAGCCAAATTCTATTTTGGCATAGACTATTGTTTTTTCCTTACGCAATTACTTATATAAATATGGGAACTTACAATGGGATGCCTGCAACTGATGTAGTGTTGGTATCTCAATACAGATTGGTTGCTGAAACGTGACATTTGTTTACGTTAGCAACTGTTATTCCCATTCTATTTAGAGTATTCCAAGCCTGTCAAGTATCAATTCTCTTAAGTAACACATTCTAAAATCTGTTACAAAGATTTCAGTTCTTTCACTATATATTTCTAACTTAACACGAAGGCTGGCATGAAGCCACGTAGAACAAAAATTGACTAATTATGCATCGAAGTTGCCAGGTATAAATATATCACGGTTACAATAAAATACATAAACAAGTAATAAATTTAAGTTTAAGTAAAAGACGTAGGCGGGAAAATTCTTTTTATTTCAACCACTTTAATGCGTGATTTGTCGCTGTATTTAAATAATTTTACGTTAATTAACATTTTAACCTATGTGGAGAAACTGAGCTCAACTTTGACACGCAATTTTGCTTATAAACGATCAAATGGCGCTTAAAGTCATAGGTCACATGTGTGAGTATTCGTGATCTTCTTCTTCTTGAAGCTCAAGTACCTAACTCAGATTAAAACTAAAATCCATATATATCATATTATATAAAACACTTACATAAATATTGTTTTAAAAGCAATTTTAAAAAAATTTTTGGTTAACTATAAGAAACTGAAACTATAAGCGAGTGAGCAGTCAAAAACATGAGCGCTTAAACAAAAGTGATTGCAAATTTCTGAATAAAATTTTTTTCATCGCGTGGACTCAATATCAATATTTTCTTTTGGTACCATGTCATTTCGATGCTTATTTAGAACAAACTGCACTAAAAAATGAATGTAGATAAAATAGTGTCACTGGTCAAAAATTATTTTTTCTTTAATTCTTAATTTTTAAACAAATTTAATTATATATATATATTTTTCTTTTCAATATATATATATATATATATATATAAAGTCACCCGTTTGGGAAACACTGTATTAAGTNAGAAAATGAAGAAAAACAATAAGTTTTATTTACTATGCAAGAGTTGCAAGTAAATAGAACTCATAAAATAAGTTCAAAATGTAGAGAAAACAAGGGAAAAATTACAGAACAATGAAAAGAGGGGAAAATAAGAAGAAGAATAATAAAAATAAAAATAACAAAAAACTGGAAGAAAAGGACAAAAAAATTTTAAGAAAATTTTAAAAAATCCGGAAAATAAAACATATAATCTTTTCATCAGCTCATACGATTACATCCGCAAAAAAAGTGCTTTCTAATATTGCATCAATATAGCCAAAGCAAAATATATCAATACAATAGTGTGAGAAGCACTCAAATAAATTTTACCAAAAAATTTACAACAAATAGAATAGAACACTCATTTTTGCGGATATAATCGTGTGAGTTGATGAAAAGATTATATCTTTTATTTTCCGGACTTTTTAAAAAAAATTTTTTAATTTTTTTGTCCTTTTTTCCGGTTTTTTGTTATTTTTATTTTTATTATTATTTTTCTTTTTTTTCCCCTTTTTTCATTGTTCTGTAATTTTTCCCTTGTTTTCTCTACATTTTGAACTTATATATATATATTGTGAATTTTAACAAAATATTACATTACCGGTCCATTTATGGAGAACTGATACTTTGTACTGATGCTTCGTATTGATACTTAGCCTCAATCGTATCGCTGGTATCAATATTTTTTTATGCTTTTTCGATGCTAAGTATCGATGCTTTCTTTCGATATTGCGTCACTTAGAAAAGTCAAAGCATAAAATGAATAATATTTATTAATAAAAGAAAAGAAGGCTGTAATCAAAAGTACAAAAGTAAACTAATAAATCACAAAATGTAAACTAAATATCGAAGATTTTGTTTTTCTTTAACCCTTAACTTTAAACAAATCTAATTATATTTTTATTTTACACTGCGGCATTTTAATAAATATATCATTAATAATTGTTTGGCATAACCGGTCCATGCGTGGAGAAGTTCGCATAAATAATTAAATTTTTACACCCATCTAAAAGGAATGAATTTTTCAAAAAACTAAATAAACAAAAGAGTGCATTCCAGAGTAATATCTTGATTCATGACGGGGCATCTCTTGTTTATCCAGAGTAAGAAGATGCTATCTTGGAGCAAAAATTAAAATCATCGTCTATTAAGGAGTTCACCTACTTTTCGCTTTCTCTTCTGGTTCACGTACGCCCACCATGCAAATCGGTCTACCCCAACAAAAGAAAAGGGCACCCTTTTCTTTTGACGAAATAAATAAATGAAAAATGTTTCACTTTTTTCAAATTAACGGTTTCAAGGAAAGAAGGGGGAGGAGTGAGTGAGGGTGGACTACTAGTTCGTCAGGCATGACGTCACTTGCAATGTTGAAGAAATATGTATAAAAAGGATGATCCTCGGACCATGGTCAACTCTCACTTGTGGTCAACATGCATATCTCTCAGGTGAGTCTTCTCCTCTTATAACAATAACTTTTATAACAATAACTTTTGTACGTTATGTCATTAAAACTATATTACCGAAAAAATGACTTCGTTCAAACCCACCCCCCAAAAAATTTTTAAAAAAATATTTATTTATTTTTTCCTTTTTGGATACGAAATTGTCAATATATACTCAACTATACTATAATAGTTAATATATAGCCAATGTATATTTGTCCAATATAGGTCCATTTTGCATACTAATCTCCTCTTGTTCAAAATTTTTTTTTTGTTTAAATTTTTTTGAATTGTTTGAATTTTGTTCCATGGTTTTCCTGAATTCCAATTACTTAGAATTGAGAGAAATTAATAAATGTTGCTTCCCCAAATTATTTGAAGCAAGATTTTATAATTTTATGTTCAATTATAGCAATAATATATATATATATATAAATTTTTGCTTGAATTTTTTATTCCTTTTTACAGGAGACTAAAAGATTTTTGTAATTTGTTTTGGCAATTTTTAATTTTCAATAGAATTTATTAGTTTATGAACTTATAATATTGCATGTAAATTTAAGCAAGTTAGATTTACTGTTTTGTAACTGTATTCTAAATATTATGTTTCACTTTAAAATAGTTTTCTTTGGTTGATTGAATTGCATCGCATGCAGCTGCTTAATTTTAAAAATATAATTTTATCACACACGTTTATAAATGTTTGAGATTACTTTTTTTTATGTTGCATATTTCAATTTTATTTTCAATAAATGATAATTCTTTTTTTTACATTCTTTTTTTAAAAATAAATCTTAAATTAAAGGAATTAGGTATTTGAAATTTTATGAGAATTCGTAAACAAGTTTGAATATAACTAGTTTATAGAATAATTGAATAAAAATTTTAAGCAAAGAATTAATGGAAGCAGAACAAAAGACTGAGAAATGTTCTTTAAAGCGAAAACATTCATTTCATTTTAACGAATTCATTTTATTCGTTTCATTTCATTCTCAAACGAAATTATTTAAACTTTATTATAAATGAGGACATAAATGAATGTGTGTCTGTGTGTGCGAACTCTTAAGCCATCCGGCGAAAAGTTCGAAAGTCATTGTCGACATTAGAACATTCTGCAACAAACCGTTCGAGCGAGATAAGCAAAAAATGAAACTGAATTTTCTAATTGGTTCATTAGTCATTGTTTTAAATTTTACTATAAAAGATAGAACTTTCAAATATTTTAAAGATAACATAGGTTATATTTTCTAGCTTATAGCTCTATTTGATCATAAAAGGTTTATTGCGCATACTTTACAATATTTAATTATTTTTTATTCGCAATGTCAAATAAATTCAACGAACAATATTAACGAACAATATCATTCGTGTCATAAATCTGTACTTTTCATTATTCATACAATATACTGGCATTAGAATTGGCAAAATTTAAAAAAATTTTAATTTTGCTTTCATTTCTTCACAAGCGTTTTAATTAAATAATTTCTCCAAAATAACGAAAATAATAAATAAATAATGGGTAGTTAATCGGATATAAATTTAATCACAGGTTTGGAAAATCATAACTGGTGAAAAAAAAAAAAGTCTTAGCTCTCGGAACCCCTGTAATCCTTCCCCGGAACCTTAGGGTTCCACTCAATACCATTTGGAAACCGCTGATATATATTATTTGTATTTTGATTACCTTTATTTTCATATATAGCTCAAAGCATAGCCTTTCTTTATTTACTTATACGTTGCCTTATTTCGACAATAAAATATGTATATAACTTAATAAAAATAGTATAATACTCAATGAAAATAGTATAATACTCAATGAAACTAGTAATGTAGTTCAAATATATATAGCTCATATAGTAATAGTATATGGCTCAGTTTCATATATAGCTCAAAACATAGCCTTTCTTTATTTGTAAATACTTATACGTTGCCTTATTTCGACAATAAAATATGTATATAACTTAATAAAAATAGTATAATATTCAATGAAAATAGTAATGTAGCTCAAATATATATAGCTCATATAGTAATAGTATATGGCTCATTTTCATATATAGCTCAAAGCATAACCTTTCTTTATTTGTAAATACTTATACGTCGCCTTATTTCGATATCAAAACTTGTATTATTTCGATATCAAAACTTGTATATAACTTAATAGAAATAGTATAAAACTCAATAAAAATAGTATATAGCTCAAATATATATATAGCTCATATAGTAATGGAACATAGCTCATTTTCATATATAGCTCAAATTATAGCCTTTCTTTACTTGTAAATACTTATACGTCGCTTTATTTCGACATCAAAACATAATCTATTTTTTCCCACTTGACAAAAATAAATTGAGAAAAAAAATTTGTATTTGTGTATGAGCAATTTATCTGTATATTTTTTTTTCACAAGGAAGTAGCTCGTTATCAGATACAATGATCAAACAGAAAATATTTTGTAGCGTTTTTCCCCCTTAATTTTATTCGCTTCGTTAACTACCTTCGCGGAAAATAGTATTTTGGAAAAGACAACTATCAGATAACTGAAGGTTATGGGGATAGACAAAAGTTTCATTGGCTATTAACAATAGAACGTTTCGCAATAGTTAATAATAAAATCAAACCTTTCAATACAGAAAGATTTTGCAGGAAAGTATGCCTAGTGTCATATGATAATCATCATCAATTCACGCTTTCTAGTGTAAAATGTTTGTATTCCAAATCTTTTTTTCCAAAAGCATATTTAATTTTTTAAATTTTACTATACTTTCTGCAATCAACTTTTTACTACTTTCCGACTAGCTAGAATACTCCTATACGCCAATTCATTCTTTTAGTGTAAAATGTTTGTATTCCAAATCTTTTCTCCAAAAGCATATTTTATTTTTTAAATTTTACTGTACTCTTTGCAATCAAATTTTTACTACTTTCCGACTAGCTAGAATACTCCTATACTTACAGCATCTTCGTCATTTTTTTTATTTTTTTAAATTTGATGTTATAACCGACGTTGAACAGCCGACCCAATTTTTGGGTTTGCAAATACTAATGTTCAACTGCGTAACCTTGTAATTTTGAACCCAATCCAGAAGACAATGGAACTCCTGGATCAACCCTCTATAAGGGCTCTAACCCGTGATCCGTCTATCACCCAGGATATTATACGTCAGAACGGTAGTCGGTGCTAACCATGTGCGGAATTCGTATCAACCAGTCATTACTGGGATTCGAACCCGCTTCACCTAATTGGAAGGCGAACGTTCAGTATTCAACCTGATGAATTTTAATTTATTTTATAACCACCGTTCAACAGCCGACCCAATTTTGAGTTTACGACTACATAAGTCCAATTCCGTAGTCTTGTAATTTTGAATCTAATCCAGAAGACAATAGAACTCCTGGATCAAGTATTGGGAGAAATTTTGCCTTCGTGGTGGACTTTTTAATGGAACTAACCCGCATTTGCGCTACATGGAGAGGAGGACCACGAGAACCTCCCACGGTTAGCCTGACGATAAGGCAACTCAAAGCCATGATCCGTTTACCACTAAGGATATTTAATGTCAGCACTGTGGTTGATGCAAGCTGGATGCGGAATTCGTATCGGAATTCGAATTAACATTTTCAACTTGTTAGAAAACAAAATACAGCATACTCTCGATATCTCAAAGTTGAAGGGACGCTAAAAATATTTCGATATAGCGAGATTTCGAGATAGCGAGTTCAGACTAGATATGTTTTAAAAAGGAAGAAAAATATATTCTAAAAAATTTCTCTAAAAAGTACAACATCGGAATAACTACATGAAACATGATGATTCTTATGAACATGAAACATAGGAATAACTACTAATAAATATAAATGCAATGATAGTTGGCTATGAGTCTAAATATAACAATGATAATTTCATTTTTAAAAGTAAGACAAAAATAATTATGCATTAAATAGAAATGAACTGGTTTACAATAAACTTACATTGTGATTTTTCTTTTCTATTTCAAAAAAAGAAAGAAAAAAAAACATTCGACGAAACAAGGTTTTGAGAAGAAACCTTTCGACTTAGGAATTCAAATTAACATTAGGTGGATATATATAGGGGAAAATATTTTTTCGTCATAACAAGGTCTTCGAGATATCGAGAGTATATTGAATTAAATGTTTAATTAAAATTTTATAGTGTGATCCCAATTTAAAAAGTTTATGAAAATAATATTCAATACAAAAAAATTATTTGTCTAAATGTAAAATAGACATTATTTAAGGGATCACAAACGTTCCGCATAATTCTTGATAATTTCTTAAAGACTTGGTGAATAAAGGGTTTTTAAGAACATTTTAAAATTGAAAACGTTTAAATCTGACGAAGAATTAAAGGACGGGAGAAAAAAAAACTGGATTGAAAACGTTTAAACCAGTTTGATTGCAGGAAGACGCTTTAAGGTGTTTAAGAATATTACTTTACGCAACGTCTCATTTTGCACAGGTAATAATAGGTTTTGATATTTCGTTACACTTTCCTCGATAGTGATTCGGCATTATTTATTTTTGTCCTTTTGAGTGTTTTATTTTATAACGCGTTAAACTGCCGACACATTTTTTGGCTTACGACTATCAATGTTCAATCAATGTATCTTGTAATTTTGATCCCACTTCAGAAGACAAAGGAACTCCAGGATCAGGCAGTGACACAAACTGGCCTTCGTAGAAGGCTTAATGATGGGAAAAATCCCTATTTGGGTTAAATAAAGAGAAAAACCACGAAACTCTTTCATGGTTAGCCCGATGGAAAAGGGATATTCTAATACTTGATCTGTCCATAGAGGATATTTCTTGTTAGTACTGTGGTCAGTGTGAACCAGGAGCAGAGGACGTATCCACCAGCCCTCGTTGGGTTTCGAACCTGGACCACTAAGAGGATTTAATCGCCATTTTTGACAAGCAATCTAAAAATTAATATTAAGAGCAGTGGTTACAAAACACCCTGCATACAGGTAATAATATGTAACAAACCTGATGCTGAACCTATTTAAATGTCTTTGCAGGTATCAGTAGTAGCTGCAGTACTCATCGGATACGCCTGCGCAGCAGGTTACGGTGGTGGAGCTGGAGGTTTTGGAGGAAATAGAGGTGGTGGTTTTGGTGGTGGATTCGGTGGAAACTTTGGCGGCAATGTCGGTGGAGGTGGAGGCTATGGTGGTAATGTTGGAGGAGGCGGCGGCGGAGGCTATGGGGGTGGCCAAAACGTAAGTATTTTCTCTAATTCCATGACTAAATTCCTTACATCCGTGTGTTTCTTTGGTGTATTTCCATCAGGCGTAATTTAATAGACTGATAAAATAATGATACTTTTTCATGTTAAGTTCTATAACGTTTAAATGATGTGTAAAATGTTATCAGAACTTTCTTGCAAATGCTGTTTTTTATTAATCTTCCGCAAGACCCTAAAAAAGAACGCTAGTAAAATGGTTAAGAAACGTCTTTATTTTTAATACTATATTAATTTGTTCTTCATTACTTCCAAATCTAGCATTGTTGGCGAAATGCTTTTTAATACTTCCCAATTTTTAAATGGTTCTTAATTGCTTTCCAATTTATAATCATAGCAGTGAAATCATTATTAAATCTTACTATTACTATTACTTAATTGTCATAAAGTAAAATTATTTCTTACGACTCATTGAAAAAATAATTAACTAATGATTATTAACTTTGCAAACTTACTTTAAGCCTACATATATTTCACCAACAATAACATATATTTACTGCTACTTACTATTACTATTATTTAATTGTCATAAAGTAAAATTATTTCTTACGACTCACTGAAAAAATAATTAACTAATGTTCTTTGCAAATTTACTTTAAGCCTACATATATTTCACCAACAATAACATATATGTATTTACTACTACTTACTATTACTTAATTGTCATAAAGTAAAATTATTTCTTACGACTCATTGAAAAAATAATGTTCTATGCAAACTTAGTTTAGGCATACATATATTTAATCAACAATCACATATATTTAATGCAACATCTGTAAGAACATATATTTAACTAATAATTCATGCTAAAGTTATGAAAAAATGTCAGAATGTAGTCCTCAAACCTCATAACGACAACTACTGTCAGTAAAATGTGAATAAAACTGTATACATACTCTTAAAAAATCATTTTCGTTCATAGAAAATTTTGAGAAAAAGCGTTTTCGTGTCGTTTTGGAAGGGAAAAAAAGTGTCTATGTTGCCGAAATTGGTGGTTGTTGACTTCCAGCGGTGAATGTTTACAATCACATAGTCGCTTTGGTAAATGTCCGAAATATATATTAGATCTAGTTAAGTGCCACTGCCCGGTATACATTTGCCCGGTATGTCCTACATCAATGTTTTTTTAAGGTCAAGTGCCACTGCCCATTGTGGATTACTGCCGGTACTCCGAAGACTGATGTTTCTCCTAATCTATCCTCAGAAGATATTAATATATCGAATATATATAATAATAATCAACGAATAAATTAACATATAATCTGATATAACAAATATTTCGGACATTCACCTAAGCGACTGTGTGATTGTTGACATTCACCGGTGAAAGTCGACATTCTCTTGATTTCGGTCATACACAGTAACATCGATATATTTTCAGTATCCTCCCAAACCTTACAACTTCGACTACCAGGCCAGAGATGAGCAGGGAAACATGCACTACCGAAACGAGCAGGGTGATCAATCAGGTGCTGTGAGAGGTTCCTATGGCTACACAGATGCCCAAGGATTGTACAGAGTGGTCGATTATGTGGCCGATGCTGGTGGATTCAGGGCCAACATCAGGACAAATGAACCAGGAACTGATGGCAAAGAGAGTCCCGCCGATGTTCAATTGACAGCTGAACAACCTCCTGCTGGTATTCAGGATCGATACACAAGAGGTAAGTAACAGTGCATATTTAAAAAAAGTAATTTCGATGTTTGGCATATATTTTAAAATCCCAGCCAAAGTTATGTTCATTTATTTCATAGCAGTAAGCATTTTAGTGCTGATAAAAAGACCAATGCAAGAACTAATAAATTATATCTGTTTGGCAGAAATAACTTTAAAAAGATTTAATTAGTCAAAAAGCAGAGTTGGGAAAAATCATTTCAATAGATTTTTATTAGAAATGACTTGAGGTTACTTTGGGATTATCCCGCCAACCCGTCAACGTTTGCGAAAATTTGCAAATCCTTTCGCGCCATCATAAGGAAAAGCAATTTCCAAAATAAACGTTCTAAACACATTAAATTTATCAAAGAATAATAATATTAAAATAATAATAAAAAAATTCAGTGAAAAAAATACGTAATGTTGCTGTTGTCGTAGGCCATTAAAGCAACGGGTGCGATTGTTCTTTTTTTCCAGTGGTGCCATCTATTACCAAGAATTTGACTTCTGCCACACCCATACGTCACACATGTTTATAGGCCGGCCCATTCATACATCCATTCATTCATACTCAGAACGCAATTTTGACCTGAACCAGAGAACGATCACTCTCCAGTTCAGTACTTCCGGAGGTATAATTTATGGGAACATGGAGGACTTTGTGTCCCGACAGAGCTAACATGCACCAATCCCCATTTACTACATGGGAAATCTTCAGCCGGCTGGATTCAAACTCCCGTTCTCAAGAACGAGAGTCCAGCACCCTGCCAACCAGGCTATCCCGGCCCAAAATACGTAATAAAAAATGTAATAAAAAGAATCAAAACAAAGTACCTCCACTTTTTTTTTTAAATTACGCATCGAATTTAATGAATTGAAAGTATGACACTCTGCTATCTTCGGTGCTAAACAAATCCCTAATTCGCATCATTTGGCTGCGGAGTAAAAAGAACCATATATTTTAACACGCTAAAGAAAAGTAATTCGCGTAGTCAAGGACTACAACAGTAAACGTGATCAAATTTGAGCCCTTTGGGGAACCTTTTAGCGATAAAATCGGGTATTTTCAAAAATGGTCGATGGGATAATCCAAATGCACGAAAACTGTCGATGCGATAATCCGTCGACCGTGGAGCTAGTAAACAAATTATTTATTTTCCCTCTCAATGTAGGATAAAAGTTTTAGCGTTAAAATTAATCTGTAGGAAAAATTAACATTCCATAATGTGTTTAATTAAAACTTTTTAACTCTTAAGCCTAATAAGCTAAGAGCTTAGTTTTCAACATATTTGAAAGCTCGCATACACCAAATAATAAAAAGAGTATAAAGTTCCAAATTTTAATTCCTTAAAAACCTGGAAATAAACTAGTTTATAAAAATACTGTTACGCTGTACCGCCAAGTCGGAATTAAGCCTTCAAATGTTACGACTTTGGTCGGAGCGCCGTTCCCACTGCAAAAGGCTGTTTGTTTAAACATACTGCATTCTCTCTGATCAGGTCTTAGTAGTTCGGAATCCACACTAATTTAATAAACCACATGGAGCCGCGGTGACTCAAGGGATAGAGCGCTCGCCTTACAATGAGGTGAACCGGGTTCCAATCTCAACGATGATGGGTCGATTCGAATTCCGCACCCGGCTAGCACCGAATACAGTGCTGACGTAAAATATCCTCAGTGGTAGACGGATCATGGATTAAGAGCCCCCTTGCCATCAGGCCAACCGTGGGAGGTTTTCATGGTTTTTCTCTCCATGTAACCCGAATGAGGGTTAGTATCATCAATAAGTCCTCCGCGAAAGCAAATTTCTCCCAATACTTGATCAAGGAGTTCCTTTGTCTTCTAGATTGGGTTCAAAATTACAAGGCTATGGAGTTCAAAATTAGTAGTCGTGAAAGCAAAATTGGGTGAACTGTTCGACGGCAGTTATTAAATAAAATAAACCTCATGGTTTCAAAGTCAGAAAATCCATGCATGGTTGGGTGGTAGGGTAGTGTGGTATGAAGGGCAGGTAATTGCTAGCATCTTCTGCAGTCCAATGTATTTTCGCGGTAGTTTAGTGAGTGTAGATGCCTGTACTTTTTTTAAATCATCATTAGGAAGAATTCAGGTTATCAGAACATCATCAATAGTTGTAACTCTTGTTCGAGTTTAGAAACTAAACCCATCAATTGTTATAACTATTTATTTTAATATTCAACACATTTTTTAATGATCACATTATTTTGAAACTAATTTTTAGGTGGTGGCTATGGAGGTTCTGGAGGATCTGGAGGTTATGGAGGAGGAGCTGGAGCAGGAGGTTATGGTGGAGGATCTCGAGGAGTAAGTGGTGGATTTGGAGGTGGTTCCAGAGGATTCGGAGGAGGAGCAGTTCACGGTGGTGGTGGAGTTAGAAGCGGAAAAAGTGGCTATTAGATATCATGTACTCGTAGATTGAAGCTTGAAGTGATGATTGAAGCTTTTTTAGCAATTGTTCTATTTATTTTTCAAATGCATCTAGTAACATGGAAATTGTTGTGTTTGTACTTAAGCCATCACATTTAACTAGGGGAGACTGCTTGGTAGATGTTCGATATCTTAGGGCTAAGGAAATTTTCCACTTGTCAAAAACACAGACGGGAATAAGTTTTGCAACACGAAAGAAACTTTGTGCAGGACTGTAACTATATTGTTTAGGATATATTTTTCTCTTGTTTATACATCTGCTGTACTGAAACTGCAGTTGATATGATTATACTGCAGCTGGAGTACGACCATCAAGCAATTACAGAATGCAATAATTGATCAATCAAGATTGTACCACCATTGCAGTTGTGGACAAATTTTATCCGCTGCCTACGCGATATCAATTCGAATAACCATAATAATTGTTAAAATTTATTTGTAATGTAATTGTTACACCACTGGTTCGAAATTTTGTTACAGATAACTGCGAACGATTTCTATTCAATATCAAAATTTTCTGCTATTAGATTTCCTATCTTTTAACGATTAAAACTTTTCACCTGGTTATACTATAAATGCACCCAGAAGTCATATCCAATCTCAGAAGCTAAACTAGATCACTTGCCTGTTACCAATCAATCAATCTATGTAATATCGTATTAGTTAACGGGAAAAAGATATTTACACATGATATGTTGTGAGCAAGAAATTGTTGTTCTCTTGCAATGACGTCTATTGAGATATTTCATCAGCTTTAATCAGCCAATCAGCGTACATCTTGGAAATACACCATGTGCATTTACATTGTGCGTTTTTAAAATGGCGTCTTACTTGATCAGCTTATTGCAACCTGTAAACGTTTGATCATCAACTAGTAGACAAATAGTTGATTGAAGTGAGGTTCGTTAAGTATACCTATAGAAAAATTTAAGATCGCAAGGAAACTATAACTTCGGAAGGAAATAGCTTAAAAATATTTTACACGAAATTTATTTTTAATGACTTACATAACAGTTTCTATTTTGGTGTTGCAAAACTTATAATAATCAGATAGTTTTCTAATCGGGCATTTACTTGTGCGTATTGTCTGTGTGTTTATTTCTTATTCACCTTCTGGCCGGCCTGATACTAAATGGCTCAATTCATTGGTTGTGAAGCTTTGTGTTCATAACCTTTCTTGTACATTTGAGTGTTTTTCATTCAATAAATATCATTTTTTAAAAAGCATAATCTGTTGTTCTTTACTGTAGTCTTGTTGTGCTTAGTTATAAATGTGCAATTAAAGTAAATAACGAAGAAATGAAAGTAATAAATCACAGAAACTAGTCCCGAAAGTTCTAACGATTTGAAAAAGCACTATAAGACTGAAAGATGCATGATGTGTATACATTCCTCTCAGCTGACTTGGCATTTTACTCTAAATTTCCAAATTGCTTACAAAGTTCATCAACAGATGGCGCTGCAGCTTAAGAAATTTTTTTAAAACTGTTATTAAAATCACTCCTACTTGCATGAGCAAAATAACCGTTGCTCGCGCAAATATTAGTCAGACATACTGCTGACAACTATTTATGGTTATTTATATATTTATGGTTTTTACGGAACCATCTGTTGACAAACTTTGCTAATAGTTTTGAAATTGGAACAACTGGTTTCGCAAACAGAAGCCGAATATCTCTCCTCTTCTATAATTTATCTTCCAAACCGTCCGTTATTTTCAAGGCACCTCGCGAATCTGTCTAATATGCAGCAGATACGCTAATTTATAAGGTCTGTAAAAAAACTATTTTAAAAGCGGTGACAAGCGAATATAGAATAACTGACGTCTTAATAAAATTTTATGTGAATATCGACATTTTGATTTCTGTAGCTATTTGTTTTAGAATTTAATAGAACAAAAACTGAAATAACCATTTTGTTTCAAAACGGATTAGAAAGTAAATGCAATATAAATGTTGCATATATATGTACATTCTTACGTTTTATTTATGAATGCAATGCATGCTGCATACATAAATAAAACGTAAGCACCCCATTCATCATTAAATTTTGTTGATAAAAGAAGTTGCAATTTGTTGAAAAAGAAATGATTGTTCCAGAAAAATACAGCTTAAAAAAATTTTAATGATAAAGTTTGGCGATCAATGAAAAAAATAAGCATTATTCAATTGTCCATTTAAATCTAATATTCTATTGGAAGTACAAATTAGTTCGGTCCGCTTTCAGATGATGGCTCTGGCTGTTATGAATGTTTCATAGTGACAGCTGGATTTGGTGGTTTCAGAGAGGTTAGACATCTGTTAATAATATTCAGTTTATATCGCTTTGAGTTTCGTACAAAAACCCTGTTTTTTATTTTGTTGCATGCGTCAAACTTTGTGGTAACTAAGCATCATTTGCGGGAGGTCTTATGTTTCTGCTTTAATTGCAAGAAAAGTGGAGCTGAAGCTCATCAAATACTTGTAGAAGTTTATGGTGACAATATCATATAGGCAGAGCCGGATTATACCTTTCGTAGGCCCTAGGCACAGCCGTTTATGGGCCCTCCCCTCCTTCCCCCACTCCTCCCCTCTTTTCAAAATATATGCTAAAATTTTCTTCGTATGGAAACGTATTACGCCATTTTAGATGTATTAATTTCAGAAATGACTAAAAGGCGTAAAGCCTACATTGATTTGTACGATAATTTCGGTTTTCTTGTTCACAAAAATTTGTCAGAATCTGAGATTAAACTAAAAGCACAAAATTTGGTGAAAATTTACTCATCCGATTTAGAGGAAAACTTTGTAGATGAATTTTTACTATTTTCAAATTTGTATGAACATAAATCTGCACAAGAAATGTTGAAGGCTCAAATTAAAGA